AGTAACCTTTTTTTGGGCTTTGTAAGTTGTTGCCTCGTTGTCTTAAAAACGCATAAGATGCAAATCCTTCTTCAGGCTGGCAAGAAGAGGCCTGCTGACGAAAGCGTTTGCCGTGGCCTCATAATGTCTAAACGCTATCGTAATTATGCTACCATTTGATCTGACGTTATTTTAGAATTCTGGCTTTCAGACATATAGTTCTTGTAGTCATAGCCGTTCTAGTTTTAGTATGGCTAACAAGTTGTCACTGATCCGTGAACTGTTCTGATGTAAAGCGGCGATAATAACTTGCGAAAAGGCTTCAGGACCAACCTTGTTATTCTTTCGTACTTCAGTTTGTCGCCATTGTGGTACACACAGTTTTATCTACAATTTATCCGTTACAGCAAATCATCACCTCATCGTCTTTGCCTGACAACAAGTGTTGATACTAGAATAAATTTATATGGATATCCCAACAGTTTTTGATGATGGCATATTGTACATTCGCGATTTAGACGCGTCTGTAAAAGTCATATACTATATATATATATAATTTGAGGTAGAAGTAACGACAGAACCTAATGTCGCTGGATAACCGAACCGGGTCGACAGTTACTTTAAATTTTGCAAGCTGTAGCGTATACCTATTTTCGTCAAAAATTTTAGGTAGCACCGTACGGCGACAGATTCAAATGCGATGAGGGTAGAATATATTATAAATTACTTTCTGATTGTTTATTTTTTCTAGGCAATTTTTAGCTTTGACCAGCTTTCAGTGAACCATGATAAAATACAGTCTCAGCTTTCCTACGAAACTTTCACGACAACGAGAGATGAAGATACAAGCAAGACATGTTTAGATAATGTAGTCAGAAAAGCAGTTTTATCAACCTTTCACGAGTTTCAATAAATTCCGCTAAACATTTGAGTCCGTTTAGCATTCAGAGGCGGCAACGAGCACCGCCTAAAAAGTATCCATTATACCTATCTTGTAGATAAATGAGCGATTCGAGCCACCGCATTGAAGTCGGCTCTTCATTAAAGCCAAAACTGAATGGCCTAATATACTTTTATTTAATCGAACGCAGTTGGATTAAGTAAGTTAGTAAGTACAATTAAATTGATTTTCGCTAGAAAATAGCCTTTTTTCTCCGTTCTCTTGCATCGTTTTTGTCTAACGGTTATCATCAGAAGCTTCTGTCTGTTTCCCTTTTTCCCAGGCAACGACTTGTATTGCAGGTAAATAATTTCACGAGCATAGACACCATTAGTGCGAGCGATAAAACAGCAGTGGCAGTTGCCACGCGCGAAAACGTGGACTTCGTTGTACCAAACGAAGGGATACATTATTCTCAGAGACAACGTCGCAGTAATATCGGCGTCTGTCAGTTTTGATTTTGCTAATAGACACAGAATCTTCAAAACGGGTAGCTCGTTCCCAAGTGACTTAATTATTATCGAGTGAAGAAGTGCTCCTCACTGGATGCGTAAACAAGGAAAAGAGCTTCAATTAGGCGCACTCTAGTTCGAAGGGTTACCTTGATTTTGAGGAACTTATCGAGATACATCGATTACGACACATCTCTATCGTAGAGCGTCCTCACCTCAGAAGGAAAATTAAATATTTCTTTTTTCCACATAACGTCACCGGTTAAATTACGTAAATGTAAGTCGGGACAGATGCATATACGTCTGTGCAATCTTAAGGAATACCAGAGGTAAAAGAAAAAGAAAAATTTTGTCTACAGATAAATAATAACAAGGAACTCAATTTCATTCACTTGATTTATAGTATGAGCCGAGTTCATGTTCTGCTAAGCCTCTTTATGCAGCTCTCTTTATGCAGACTCTTTATGAAGATTTTCGCGACTATGACTGATAGATATTTTGATTCAACTGTAATCTTTTGTTGACTGTAAGAATCGTTGTCCTTTTCTCATTTAACTATCTGCTCATAAACGTGTTTCACGAGTTGCCGCCAAATTACTTCTGGTCATCTGTTTTCTGTAGCCCCATTATTATGTCATAGACATTGCAAGGTATACCTGCCGGATTTCTGGCGTACGATCATTGCAACAACGCGTGATGAAGTAAAAGTTACGTGGGTTGTACAGACTCAGGTAAATATCGGAGGCGGCGCAAACTAAATATGTCTATTGCTGAGAGTTATCATAGGCGGTTCTTTACTATATCGTTCGGTAAAGCAGCAAGCGTTACGCAAGCCCTCAATGAGTGTGTCTTGGCCTTATATAAGGATCCTCGTCCTTCATCGGGATAGGCACTAGCAAAATCTGTTCGTGCATGCACGTTGGTATCGTTCAAACATTACTATTCTATCATCGAGGCTAGCAGCTATAATTAGCCTGTTAGAAGCTGTAGTTAATGGATAGTTAAATGGAACCTGGCAGACTGGATTTTTTTTCTCAATAACGCTATTACTATGATTGAATTTAAAAGACTTGTATGCATTTTGACCATTTTCTCGCTTTTCGAAATTCGCTTTCTGATTGATAGGTTACTTACAATATGTTCCTCTGTATATTCGGATAACCAAACTTCGACGCTCCCTGCTGCCAAAAGCGAAAGGAGAATCTGTGAGCCAACACGAAACGCTTCTCCAAATACAATTGAAGGTATCATCTTCCAACGTAAGGTCGTACAAAGGTTTTAGATGACTGATATATACATACTTTACAACTGTGACACATACGCAGATAGTGTCTCGCGTACAAAAAAGGACGCGATACTTACTTCGAATGTTAAATCTTTTAAACATCACAATACTGTTATATTACTATAGAAACAAGCTGCCATGGGCACCAGCATTCGCAGTCACAACGGTCTGCGTTATTTGTATATATTATTTGCAGAATTGTTTTCTTTTTAGTCCGAGAAAGACAGCAGTCTAATGTGATTGGATAATGGTAGGGAGAAGGTACACAGGAATACAGGTACAATTATCAAAGCTAGATGTACGTACACAGATGTGCAGTCACCTGCGACGTTCTTCAATGAAACGTCAAATGTGAGCTTTGATGCCATATTATGTATGTATCAAATGGCTATTTATGAACAAACGGTTAAATATGTGTTCTAATAGATTGGAAGGAGACGCTTTGCAACGGCTTATTAATGTACGTCTCGGTGGTGCTGCTGCTGCTGCTGCTGCTGCTGCTGCGAACAACGTTAAACATAGGGGCACCAGGTTATCTGGGTCCGAATCGAGGCCAGCTGTCTAATGCCCAGCGGCCTAAGCACCGGACGTACAGAAAAAAACACATGTTTTTTTTTTGTCTGACACCTATTGGCTGCGGTTATTTCTACTGTACATAAGAAAAATGCATTTCGCATGAATTCGCAGATCCTATGCAATGGAAAAATTGTATGCACCCATGAAATTCTGCGACTCTATTATTTTAGACTTTTTGTTAGGATAACGGTAGCCTCATTTAGAATCCACTAAAGCTAAATTTGCACCAACCCTAAAACCTTTCTACGCAAAATTGAAGAAGCCCAAGGTCATCTGAGATTAAGTGCAAAGAGGCCGAGTGCGTTTTGATATATGATTTGCCACTCTCAACCCAAAAACAGAGATAAGGTTCGATTAAAAAGCCTAATAATATTAGGCTGAAAGGTTCCCATAGAACAAAAATTTTACCAGGCAGAGAGTGTTCTCTATCGAGAAAAGCATCATTTGCTAAAGGTATTTCAGATCTTTAGTTATTTTCTTGTCAGAACTTTGCCTTGGGCGTTTGCCAGCACATCAGTGGAAAGCAGAGGGTTATTAATTTCTATCATTTAAGAAGGAATTTCTATCAGTTAGGGCAGGTTCCGCAGCTCGTTAACATTGGCAATTTAGTGTCTTTATTCCCCCTTCAAAAAATGTACATATTTCAGTTAAATCTCTGTACGGTCCGTCGGAAAATAGACATGATCTATCGTATGAAAGATCGTGTGTTGACGTTCAAAATAAACTCGCATTTGTTAAGGGTGTAACAGATACTACTCGGACTATTTTACCAGAAAATGATTAGTGACGGTCTTTGCGAACAGCGTAGTTAATTAAGTGCAGTAAACATCATTGTTCCAAACTTAGTTTTCGTAAAAACGGAGACTTCCACTGAATTGTTGTCATGCTAAAACAGCTTTGTCATGCCGAGCCGCAACTCTTTTCGCTCCGTTATTCTGAGCATTTGTCAACGCGTAGACGAAACAAGAGACTATTTTACATCATAAAGACTGATTGTAAGCATTGCTTCAAGTGGCGGTGGTTGAATTCGTTAATCGCTCAACCATCGAAAAGTTGGCGGGTTACAGGTCTAACTGGCGTTCTGTCTGACCCGAAACGTTCTCTCGGCTTTCTCTAGTGCAAAATGCGAGTTCTTATGTAAGGGGACATTTTAAGACTGAGGATGCAGGAAGTTTAACACTTGACAAAATTTTTCGCGAAGTTTCAATGCTGTCTGGTCAATGAATATTCTACGCACAGTTTGTACATACAATCAACGTCATGTTAGTGCAGAACATAATTGTGACGTCAAAGTAAAATTACAAATGGCGGACTACGCTACTATGAGTGACACTTCCTACCTTGTTACAGTTATTATTCATCCTTATACAAATTGTGTTGATTATGTTAAGGCCAATTGTAGATCTATTAGGCCATCGTATCAGTGATAGAAGCAGCATTTGTCCTACTGTATTTATATTCCCTCTTATCTGCTCGTCGTACGGTCTGCAAGCTTTTTAATAAATGTCCCAAATCCCATTCGAGCCGGCGGACATTATTCGTAACTTAATGTTAAATTTAGCAGCGTGCAAGCGTACCGTCATTTGCTTTAGATGTCGTGTTCGACCGATGGCTGAACCGCAGGCCATCCTGTTGAGTGCCTTCACGCAATGCGTTTTGCGTAGGAGCCACTGTAGATAGTGCGCTCACCTGTTATGGCCATCCTTTCCCTTTTTTATTCCCTTTCCAAGCAGATATAAGGGCAGCTGAATGGCACTGTTTGTCATCACAGGTAGCCCACAGGGTTGAAGGCTATCGGTCAACCAGGCCAAGCTACTCAACTGGAACAACAGTGAACGTAACGGAATTATGATGAGGATATTTCAAGTAAGTAAGCATGAATAATGGACTGTAATCTTCAAATACGCCAGTACTTGTTATGGCTTTTAGGATTAGCCAGCAAAACGTGTGCGCGCATACAAACGGGACGGCGTAGTCCAGGTGCCCAAAGGTATCTCAACAGGCTGCCAGCCTCGTCAGTAGGACTAAGCCGCAAAGAGGAAGATTCCCCAGAATACGACAGTGTCAGTGTAATAGCAGTGCGGAAAACAACTAATTAACGGACCTCACTGGAAAAGAGGCTGTCTAAACGCAGATCCAGAATAACTGCAGGTTCTGCGAACAGTGGATTTTGTTCAATGTGAGCGGATCTGTAAACGGTGGCAAAATCAAAAAGGCAGCCGACCACTAGAGATACACGCCATCTATTCACAGGCACAGCGACAGGTCACCTATGAATTACCCTGGACAGAGAAAACATTGATCTACCCAGAGTGAGACGGAGAGGCTATGTCGAGGCCCGTACCCTGTATAAGAGAGAGCACCAGCAATGTGTTGACAAGATTTAATCTTGACACAAAAGAAATCGTATCATAAGTGTACGCTTAGTAAGCACATTCGCTATTTTTTTTTCAGAGATAATGGAATATAGTACATCGTTAGATTTGAGCAACGAGCGATTTCCATTCAAAGTACCACCGTATGACATAACCGGCCATTTCTTGTCCACTGAGCAGTACAACTAGAGCTATTTTACCTTTATTATTATTTGTTTTTAAGCTGGTCTACTACCAAACTGCATACCCTTCTTGCGAGTTTTCCAGCCGATTTTTTGTACTTAGCTTAATACGCGATGTATCTACACCGCTCGAATTGTCAACTTATCTTTTTCCAATTTCACTATACACATCCAGGGTACGCGCATGATTAGCACTGGGAAGCCCCGAGTCTCAGCTTATTAAAGATGTCTCGGTGGCTATTCAGGATCGATCCATCGGAAAAGTCAGCTTGAAACGCAACAAAGACGTGAATCAGGTTACGATAGAAACGCGTGGCTGTGTACAATAAGAAAGACAAAGGGTCTGGTAGAGTTTTGTATGCTGAGATGGGAAGCAAGTAGGCCTACAATCGAATACCGTAAGTGCAGAGTTTTTTGTTGCTGTTGATCTATTGATATAGCTTACGTATGTAAGCTTACAATTCGTCGGACAGCCTTTATCTTCTAGTGCATCGTCTTCGAAATCTTAAGGTACATAAGCGTCTGCACAATACTACATCACCGGAGTATTGCCTTTTAACGTCTGGATAGGTTTCCGCTTTTTATTCGGAGTTATTTCTTAGTGGTCAAGATCGACACATTGACTTAATACTAGATACGTAGATTACCTGTTTCCAGTAAGCACACGTGTCGATCTTTAAATTAATTAGTATTTGTTTTTGTGGCAATGTTGTTTACCAAAAACAGGCGACTTGAAAGCTACGGTAAGTTACGACAACTAGTCTAAAAAGCTCAGAGAGATATGACGTGGCACAATACCTGATAGTTGAAGCGCTTCTCAAAACACGAGTAGACCCGGAGCTTGGCCCCCAGGCCGCTTTCGTTTCCTTTGCGAGTCAATCTTTTCTTAAATTATAGGCATGAATCTGTTCTGAGACTCGACTCTCTCGTTCCTTTCCTGTAACAGTATATAGAATTATGTTCAACAAAAAGCTTCGTTAATTAACACTTTCTAATAAATAATTGCTTTTCGTTTACGAACGTATTTGGGAAGCGACGTTGTCATGTATTGTATGCACGCCATTATGGCGGCAGATCGCAATTGCAGAACATCGCGATGCTGGGTTAGGTAAGGAGCTGTACATACTATGAAGTGTGGAGTTCAATTCTTAGCTGAAGTTAGACCAGCTTTCTCCTTAAACTGCTTTACAAAAAGATGGCAGTAAACTTTTTCTACTAGTGCTTAAAGTTCTCAGTTCCGTAAAAAAACAATTCAGGTTTACCGTCGAGCTATCCACTCTATACGACATCACGTATACGTAAAGATTAATCGAATTAGAAAGGAGAAATGACATGCCAGCCATTAGCACAGAGCTTTATCGTGCCGTGACGAATTTCATTTATATACTTTTAATTACATCTCTTTCCGTGACCTTGAACTGACCAAGGAACCCTACAATGGAACCATCCAGCTATCGACAAAGCCGCATCGTTGTAGCCGACAGATATATCAAAGAAACCTTGTTCATAAACGTTCTGAGCTAAATATTTCAAGTTCTACATCCGGCGCCGCGGTTGTAAGTTCTATCAGATGTACCTTCGATATGAAACAGTCCTGTCAAGCCCATTACGGGAGCCAAAGAGGCAGGATTTTTATTACCGAATCTGTTCTGCTTGTGGTACCTTTCTAGATTTATTGCCCACCACTGAAAAAAAAATAAGGCCTGCTATACGATATGCCTGCGGGCAGTGATCATAATAACCCGAAATTCAAAGTTGGATCTTGGAATCAAGCTTCGTCTCCATATACTTGAAAAGTCACAGCTTGATGTCCTTGATGCTTCTTTCTGTAGTTTTACAAACAGCTAGTTGCCAAGATGGCCAAAAAGAGCGAAGGTATTTATGTCGATAGGGAAAAAGGCCAACACCATGGCTAAAATAAGCGGCGTGTGACTCGGTTGTCGATGATTTTTTCCTGGAAGAGGTATTGATTGATCACCTTAGGAAGTTTCCGTTAGTGGACGATCCTAAGTCGTAACATAGTTCTAGAGGGATTAGATTAGCTTGTAATTCTGATTAATGACAGAGTTTTTTCTAATTTTTTCGTATGCAAGGTTTCCAGCTTATTTATTACAAATAATCATAAGCACTATTCTCGAACGATGTGGGTTGCTTGTTTTTTAATGAAAAATTTTCACGCCACAATCCTTACCTCATAGAAGTTTCGAATTTCAAGTCAACTGTGTCCTCAGTTCTTTTTCTCCCTGTTCAGTGCCGAGCCTCTACATGTTCTTCGTTTTCAACTACGATTTCCTTTGAAAGAATGGACAGTAATAGACAATAAAATGCCCATTTGTAATGACAGACCTCACCAACCTTAAGCTGTTAGAAAGCCATAGCCGAATAACTTATCAACTTAACTAGTCTGAGTACTGAAATGCGTTGGGTCAGCTATATAATTAGTCCTCACCTCCGAAACGAGCTCACCCCTAACAGGAACCTGTTTTCTAACCTCGGTTTTGTCATAATGCCCTATCTTGATTTCGACAAGTACACGCGCACACACACCGCTGTTATTGCATTTGAAGCAATTTATACCAAACCAATTAAAATTAGTGTGACATTAGACGCTCCGCTTTAAATCCCAGCCTATATGGAAAGTAACCTAACTATTTTTACGGCACTTTTTAATATTGAGATAACGATATTTTTGGCTTTTGACCAACGCCGGTAAGGACCAGCGCTATGGTGAGCCCGCTTGCTCGTATCGAATACAGATATAATTTATTTTCTTCACGAGTGCTTCGATTATTAAGAATAGGAAAAGTAAGAAATAAATGTATTTCAAATTAAATTAATAATGATGTTACTGTATGATGTATCGGTGGAACAATATGTTCGTTTTTGACAAAATACATTTCTATTTTAGGCTAATGACGATGATGGCCTATGATTTACCTTCGTGGTATTCAGTGAAGAGGTAAGAAGGCCACGAAGTGCTGGCGTTCTTTACAACAGAAGATTATGCACACCTGGGGTACGCCTTTAATATCGCACTGTAGCAACTAAGTCGACTGAGTGTTTTTCCATTATAGGTAATTCTAACAATAACCAAAATACACCCGAAAAAAGCGTGACCTTAAAGCAAAGAAGGAAATAGTAAAGATTACTCCCCCACTTGGTCTTTCAATTGGGTTCCAAGGTTAACAGCCAAGAGGCATGTGATAGTTACTGGAGTCCCGACACTGCCGCTAGAATCGTTTCGCTTCGTGAACAATTGGTCTACCTAATTTTGTGATTACAGAAAATTGTTTCTAGAAAAATATAAGAAATGCAGATAGAGATTCTAATGTTTCTACGCTACGTAATATAGTAGTGTGTCGCGTTTACAATGTGCTACGTAAAGCGGCATATTGACAAACTTGACAAGAGTATCGGACAGTGGATCGGCAGTAGATTATACGAGGCCACAAAATATTGCAAGCGGAAAAGCTGAATGCGAATAATTAACCCGAAGGGACAACTAATCCACGATTTCAAAGATAAATAAGCAAAAGGTGTTGAAGTTGAGTCTACACAAAACTGACACGTTGGAAATTTTTGAGCAACAGATCCCGAAGGACAAACACCGCCTTTAAAAAGAGGCCTTGAATAATTCTCCATAAGGCTCATACCGAGCAACAGCAAATATGTCCGATCACCAGGTGATTACAAGGTTTGCTTGTTAAAAAAAAAAAAAAAAAAAAAAAGCTTTATAACAACAAACACATAAAATGCTCTATCACCCTAAAAAATACACATCCGCTCTATTTAAAGCTCGAACGAAGCTATTCAATGAAAAAGCAAAGATGAATACGCCATAATTAGAACTATAGTATATATATATAAAATAGGCATATTTTGCAATTTGTTAAACTATCAATAGAACACTAAAAAGTGAACAAAGAAATACGTAAAAAAAGCTGTGAGAAAATAATCAAACTTCCATGAACACATTTATCCTGATTAGGTAACTGCAGCAATAATTCAGAACTCATAGAAGTAATCTATGGATTGCAGTAGCAATAACTGTGTATAAACAGAAGCCAAACAATCGTTAAATCTAAGTTTTATAAGGCGATTAAAAAATTAGGAAAATTTGGTTTTTAAAGTAACTTCTATCAATAATACCTACTTCGCAGAAACGATAACCATTCGACTTAACGTCCTTGTACTCTAAAAAAAGAAAACTCTGCAACAGCTATTTGTAATTGCAGAAGTAGTTAGATTATGTGTAGTTAGATTAAGAGCTTGTCTTTAAAAGTTGTTCGTTCTAATATTATTCATGAATTTCTTGTAAATTTGGTCTGATATTGTACGACAACAGCCCTATATTTCGTTATGTGCACAATTCATGCAATCCCGTCTAACACGCACAGACTGTCAGACATCTAGATACATCGTAAAGGCGTCACAAACGCATTTTAGCACTGTATAAAACTTTATTCGACAAAAGAACGGGACCTTTGCTTTGCCGCCCGCTTTTGCTAGCCCTTGATGCCAATAGTTTCGTCATCATTTGCCACGACTAGTACTGGAACTGCGGCTAGAAGTTGGCTGTTGGGGCAAGGTCATAAGCATGGTCGCCTGTCTTGTATCATTACTTTCACACCAACGACTGTACCCAGAGTGGCTTTCTTGCTTGTTTACCGCCTCGACGGATATTTTCCCTCACTCATAATCATGGCTTCGGTCTTATGCGTTTTTCGCCGCGATTTGTTTTCTGCTAGAATAGGAATGTATTCGCTACTGACGAACACTGTCGGAAATTAGTTACGCTGAACTAAAACACGCAGATAGGGACAGGCGTCGGCCGATCATTCACAACAATATAGGGCGATAAGCTCCATTTACGGCCAACTGCTTTGATTAGCAGCGCCACCACCGTTATAAGCTGTATCAGTAATAGTGGTAACGGCGATGGTGGTGGTAATTTACCAATCGTTTCCTAGTGTCAGTGTCAAGCAACCGTCTATACGATCTTGATACGAATTTAACTTATTACGCGATGCTGCCGAAGATATCACTCGTATTGTCTCATAATGTCATAATGTGAATGGTAACTGATTACAAAACAGTTTACACTACGCTAATATACTATGACATTATTAAAGCGTTCTAATACTTAACCGCTATTTTGCCCTGCTAGGTGCATCGTTCATTTTGTGATAATATCTATATCTCTATTGTGTATATTAGAAAATGTGTTGTCCATCCGTGCGTTTCTGGTAAGGCAGAGTGCTCCATTTAAACGATATGTCTATAATAGTTTCTGTCTTCCAACGTTTTCTATTCCGCCACGAAAACAAGGCCAACTTATTCAATGCGGCTCTTCGTCCTTTAAGTTCCCGTTATCGACTCAAGTACTATCTAACGGTACAGTTTTACGAGTATATCAACAAGAAGGCACTTATTTGGTCACCTCTTTTTATTTGGCCGATATCGGTTTGCTTATAATCTCGATTTGGTGAAAGCGAGCGTAAGGGCAAAGTATTTTTAGTAAAGCGTAGCTTCTGCAAGAGATAGCAAATAAAGGCGTTTGGTCCATATCTATGCAACTGGATTAGATCGAACGATTGTTACCTATCGATTTAATTAATTTCTATTTAATGAATGGCTATTTTTTCGCATCTTTGCACATGTCACACATGTTTGCACATTTCGATATATCTACAAAGCTTGAAAAAGGATAGTTGTGTCCTACGATAGCAATGGAAGTACGCCTTGTGTTCAGTGTGCTCTTTTTCCCCCAATAAATTTCCACTGCTCCTGATAATCGTGGGCCACCTTCCACTGTTCTACTCTCACAAGAAACCTCCAGCCAAAAATCGATGAGCATGGAGCGAAGCTAATGAATGAATCTAGTACATATAATAATAATAAATATAAGGTATGAATTTTGACTTAATATAAGATCCTTAGATCAGTATTCATTGTTCCTTATTATAGATATTTTGTAAAAGGTTTAGATCTAAGTGTAAGGTAAGCTTAATGTCGCAAAATATGTTTTGCACTACGGGATCCATAGCCACTGAAACCCCGAGCCTCGGAATCTTGGGCCACTATTCGGAAGTACTGGGTTTATGTTTCGGGCATGGTTTGCAGGAACCGGCTGTCTAGACGTGACAGACTAAGACCATTGACTCAGTTAGTGTCCAGTCGAAGGCAAGAATCAGAAAGCTAATCGGAAACCACAATTATCGGAAAACTGTACTGAATGAAGCCATACGCTAACATTATTAAACTGTTCTCAAAGAAGGAACAACAATGGCTATCTGACAGTTAGACAGCTTAAATCAACGAAGGTACGCTGAGAAAGGTCGCTGATTAGGAGCTGTGTGAAAGGTCTGAAGGATTCAGTTCAATCTACAGTTATACGTGAGTGAAAAAAACGACATGTTTTGGGAAGGTTTTCCACTCGTCGTGCCGGAAAGTATGATCGACTTACCACCAATTTTTTTTTAACAGAAAATCAATTCTACTAATGTAAGTGCATAGGCACCGTCGTACAACAAGGCCTAAATATCATTTTTTGGCGGCACAAAATATGCATATAATCTATCTAGTTGGTTCGGACCTGATGTACTCTGTCTGAGCTGACTAATCCGCCGCGCTCTACAGGGAGTCAGCATTAAGGATTTTTTTTACTTCTTGAACTTGAACTATGTTAGAAACAAACTGCGTAGCAGTCGCTGAGCCCTTTGATGTTTTATCTGAAAGCGTGAAAGGTTTATTTTTGAGTCTGCTTATGCTTTGATGGCCATAGTGCCGATGCGTGGTCTCCGAGATTTGTGACCGTACAGGTTTGTGAAACTGAATCTCGGTATTGCTGATTATGATAGGCAATACGGCAATTCACAAGCATCGAATTCTCACTGTTACCAAAACCGTGAGACGGCGTCGCAGTTTGTCAATCTGTCCATTCATTGAGAGTTTTGAGTTATAAGAAAAATATACCGTAACAAGAAAAAAAGAAAAGCCTAAAACTGAAACACAATAAAGTTTTGAGTTAAAATATGGCTTTATCAAATAACTGTGTATCAAACAAATCCTAGGTTTAATTATCCTTGTGAAACGCTTCGATGTCAATAATTCACTCTGTCACAATCAACCTCTTTATTGCGGAAACAAACTGAATAACAGAAATTAAAAAAAATAATCTTATTTAAAAACAGGACATCCAAGTATTTGAACTTCCAATCCGAGAAATGTCGTCATCTTAGAATAGCCACAAAGGATTGGCTCTAGTAAAGCTAGAAAAGCTGTAAGTTACGTATAGTAATAGTACTATAGCCTGGCTAAAAACCATCGCCATGAACCGAGTTGAAGTATTTGGAGAGGTTTAAATTTTATAATTTTTCCTAAAATTTTATAAAGGTAAAATTAGAACGATGATAACGTTCTTTTCTCAAACTGAGCTTATACATAAAAATACTTCGATTTTTTGAGGTCATTGGAGTGCTTGAGAGGGTTCGAACACATAAAGGCAATATAGATTAAAATCTACCTGACGCAGCCGTTGAATACAGCGGTTGCCACATGAGGAAAAATATATCTGTATGCTCGCCAGTGCTACTGAATCTTATTTCAAAGATAAGATTTGTAATGATTTATAATTTTAAAAGAAAATGTCTCATAAGGACACAAACTTCTGGCCCGGCCAGACCGCTATGTCGTTTATGTCTCGTAGTGGTCCGAATGTGTCTGCTACCGTTTCGTCGAAAGGAGCGCGCCATCCTCCTTGGTGGTTGATCGGCAGTCTCGTGAGTATACAAAGTCGCCTACATTCCTTGTTGTATATCATTTACTGGTAAATGCCTGTCTTAGTAGTCTCGAGACCAAAGCGTTCCTTTGTA